TCATCATCATCATCATCATCATCATCATCATCATCATCATCATCATCCTGGTGGTTCAGGCTAGCTTCCAAATCAGCTATGTAGCTGAGATTGGTCTTGAACTTTTAATTCTTTTGTCCACCTCCTGAGTGTTGAGATTACAGGTATGTTCTGGTACTTGTTGGGCTGGGAATCAATTCCAGGGTTTTGTGCATGTTAGCCCCAACCCATGACTACCATATTTAACTTTTTAGAATTATAGTTTTTATATAGATCCTCAAACATAGGATTCTTGATAAATTATATTCAGTTTGGTTGTAACAGGTTGCTAAGCTTTTCTTTTTATTTCTTTTTGGGTGTATAGTATAATTCTTTCCCCTCTCCCAAAGAGTCTCACTGTGTAAACCAGTAGGGCTTCAACTCTAGAGCATCTTCCTGCTCTTGCCTCCCAAGTGCTGCGATGACAGGCACAAACTACCATGCCCAGCTGTTTTTATTCATTTAAATTTAGTTAATTTTCATTTGGTGGGTTAAATTTAAAAGATCTATCTATCTATCTATCTGTATTTTGTGTGTGTGTGTGTTTCATGTATGCTTGAGTATATGCCAGAGGACAACTTGTAGGAATCGGTTCTTTCTTTCTACAATGTGGGATGAGGGGATCAAACCTAGGCCATCAGTCCTGGCAGCAAGCACCCTCACTGGCTGAGCCACCATCACTGGCCCAGGGCTACAGGAATGCACTCCCGTCCATTTGATACATATAGGCACATAGGCATATGTGAACACACATACTTTGGGGGAGTGTCCATTGTATTAAATATTATAAAGTTTTTTCAATATAAATTTTATTTAACTTAATTGTTTAAAATGCAAAATTGAAACATAAATCTTGATCTAGCCTTAAATTCGTTGTTTCTAGATTTCAGATATATTAACTACCATTGGAGTCAAGCTTTCTGATGAAGAATTTGAAAATGTATGGAATCTCGCGTCAAAAAAACACCACAGAGGAGAAGTTTGTGTTGAGACCATCAGGAATGTTCTAGATGAACTGCAGCATGCAGGCCTAGTCAAGTGTAAAACGGTCATGTGATATTTTGGGAATTCACACATTTAAGAAAAAGTGTCATTAAATCTGTTTTCATCTAAAATGTTCTGGTTTTGCTGTTATGTTGGAACTTGGCAGTCACTCTGGCATATCTCATGTGCCTGTCTATTGCACTGATAAAATAGCTCGTGTGGACTTCATCTTTTTGTGAATTCTAAAGAATCTAAGAACTTGACAAGTGCTATGAGAATCTTCAGCCTTGTCGTGTTCACAGCTAAGAATGATGTTGAAAGTTAATGTTTAGCAGGTCTAATAATTCCACCATTTTAGCAATCTGAAATTTGGTTCATCTGTGATGCCAAGTTCATATAATTTTGTTACTAGTGCTTTGTTATTGTGTTTAGGCTCTGTTATGAGAAGCCACATTCTTAGGGTGCCCTGGTCTCCATGGAACCCAAGAAAAGGAGGTTATTGAAAGAGCAGGATGTAGGAAGCAAAGTCTCAAGACCTAACAATTGATTGCTTAATGGCCACTAGATTAGTATCTTCTTAGTTCTTTTTTAAATTTTGAGACAGGGTCTCATTAATGTAGCCAAGTCTGGCCTAAGCTTAAGACCTCCTGCCCTGCCTTAGCTTTTCCCACATCTGGCTCTTAATACCTTCTTATGAACAAAGAACATGTTGTCCTTGATGCTCTGAAGAAGACATGGCTGCCCCACAGCAGACACAGGCTTCAGGAGGGTACCAGCAGCAGACTCTGCTCATCCACTCCTTCACTCAGACCCTGGCTCTTGATACACATTCCATGCACAGGCAAGAATGGGGCAGGGATGGTGTGACGGTTGATTTTTCTTGTCAGCTTACGTAGTAGATTTAGAACTACATGGGCTTGTGTCTCTAGATGTCTAACAGTCTGTTTCCAGAAAGTTTAACCAGAGAGTAAAGACTTAACCAGACTGTGAGCAGCATCTTCCTGCATCTCTGCATCCTGACTATGGATACGTCTGGAGGATGAGTCAAGACCACTCTTGGATACATAGTAACTTCCTGGCCAAGCTAGGCTATCAAGTGAGATCCTGTTTCAAAAACAAAACAGAAAAAAATATTTTGGAGTAATTTAAGAAGTACAGAAAACTAAAAAAAGTAGTAACCATTAATAACTACTACACAGGAGTGTGCTGATACCTGCCCTTCACACACACACACACAAAATCAGCCCACAAAAGTCAAATGTGAATCTATCTTTCCAGGGCTGAATTCATTGGTAGCTTGATAGCAGCTGTAGAGAGATTATTCTACTAAGCAAAACACCAAATATTACTGCTTCTACCCCTCCAGCTACTTATGTGTCTCCACCTGCCAACTCTTGTGTCAGAGCAAGTTGCACATATTGTGCTTCACTTCTCAATACTAAGAAAACAGGATGATCGTGCCCCATCTCTCTGCTTCCCTCTTTACCTTCTTCCTCTTTCTTTAGGTGCTGGGTCTAACTAGGACCTTTTGTACATTTGGACAGCCAACAATCACAGGACCACACCCTCAGCCATCAATGGGAAAGTTCCAAAATCAGGAAAACTCTGGCATATTAGTCAGAATGCTCAGGAAAACAAAACATATACAGTGAATCTCTCTTCATTTTAGAAAGGGGATTTCTTAGAATGATTTTCAGGCTGCAGTCCAGCTAAGTCAGCAATGGCTGTGAATGGAAGGTCCAAGAATCCAATAGTTGCTCAGTTCACAAGGCTGGATGTCTTAGCTAGTCTTCAGTATATGCTGGAATACTGAAGAATTAGACTAGGTATAGCTCATAACTGCCATTAAGAGTGCCATTCTCCCTTTGAGGTTTCATTTCCTGGCTAATGAAATGAGGTTTCATTTCCTTTCTCTCCATATGATGAGAAGATCTTTTTCCTCAGCATATTCAAAGCCCTTGATTAAATCCTGAGTACTGACCCCCCATCACACCTTTTCTAAATTGTTGCAATTTATTACACTATAGAGGTGGAATCACACAAGACACTTGGGGTTTTGCTTACTGAAAACCCCTTTACAAACATACCAACTCTAATCCAAATATTATGAGCAGACAATGTGAACAGAAAGATAATCCTCATTTGAAGTGGGCATTTAAGCATACTTGTCCATTCTCCTCCTAGTGAAAGCACCCTAGCCCTTGAACAACCCCCTTTGTTTTGTTTTAGTGGATGTGGCCTGCTAAGGATAACCTTTGCTACTCCAGGTCAGGGCATGTGATGTCAGCTGGATGAGGGTATATGAGCTCTACTTTGGATGACTGAGTGCTTCAGGGATGGCCATCTGAGTACAGACTATATTTTTTCCTTTATTTTTTTTAGATTGATATAATTGCATTATTTCTCCATTCTCTTTAAGTCTTTCTATATACTCATCCTTGTTCTCTTTCAAGTTTATGTTCTTTTTCATTAGATGTAGTTACATGCATATATGTATATGTATATTACTAAATATAAACCTACTCAGTCTGTATAGTATTATTTGTATTCATGTTTTTGGGACTGACAATTGGTATTAGATGATCAGTTGGTGTGCTTTTCCCCAGGGAAGATTATTTCTCCTACTCTGATCATTTTAGTGACCCATAGTTTTTAGTGTGGGATTGAAGATTGTGGTCTTCTTTAGCATGCTTGTTGCTATCCTTGTTCAGCTCATGATGAACATAGGGCTTTAAATATTGAAATATTGTCACTCTGTTGAGAAAGTAATGCTGAAAAATTCAATTGCTAACCCATGACTGCAAGTAGATCTTCCTATCTTAAGGAGAGGAAGAGCTCATGTGGTCTGAGGACATTAGTTTTTTCTTCTGATGCCTATGCCATTGTAAATCCCTTGTCTTACTTTCATTAGCTAGCTCTACCTCTAGATATTTTATCTGTACAGAGTAATATGTTATTCTTGTTAATTCAGTCATTTTTAACTGCACTACATTACAGGTGTTAAAAAAGTGCCTGTACATTATTGATTATCTACTGGACTGAAAATTAAAACTATAAAAACAAAGTCTTGTGGCTGAAGAGCTATGCAAACATGAGGACCAGAACTCAGTCTCCAGCAGCTGCCTTGTGGTGTGCATTTGTAAATCTAGTGCTGGGGAAAGGGAGACAAGCAGAACCCAGGGTCTTAATGTAATCACTAAACTTCGGGTCCTAGAAAGTGACCTTTCCTCAAAACAGGGAAGGCAGCACCTGAGGAATGACAGTTGAAGTCAACCCTTAGCTTCCACTTTGATTTGTACATATATGCGTGCCTCTCTCTCTCTCTCTCTCTCTCTCTCTCTCTCTCTCTCTCTCTCTCAGATCTTACTCTGTAACCTAAGCTAGCGTACACCAGGTTGGCCTTGAACTCAAAGAAGTCCTCCTGCCTTAGCCTCTGGGGGTGCTGAGATTATAAGTGTGAGCCACCATACTCAATTTCCTTCCTCCTTTTCATTAAAAAGTTATCAGGACTGAAATGATACTTCAGTGGGTAAAGGCACTTGACTTGCAAGCTTGGAGACCTGAGTTTGATTTCTGTAATCTATGTAAAAGTGGTCAATGGTATGTGTAGCATTCCATTATACACACATACAGAGTAATTATATTTTAAATATTATTTATTTCTGAATGTGGAAGTTCACACTGTGATCACAGCATGCAGAGACTGAAACAGAACTGAGTCCAAGGTTGACCTGGACTTCATAAAGATCCTGTCTGAACAAAATGCAACAAAGTGAAGCAAAACATTCTCATCCTCTCTCCCTCTTCCCTCCCTTCCTTCCTTCCTCCCTCCCTCCCCCCTCCCTCCCTCCCTCCCTTCCTTCCTTCCTTCTTTTCTTTCCACCCTCCTTTTTTCTTTTCTTTTTGGAGAACTGGTTTTATATAGCCCAGACTGACTTTGAACTTGTTGAACTTGTTAAGTACTGAGGATGACCTTGAACTCCTGACCTTCCTGTTTTAGTTTCCTGGAATTACAGGTGTGTGCCACATGCCTGGATATCTCCCTTCTTTCTTGACTGTCTTGCTCTGTAGCATGGGCTGGACTCAAACTCTTGATCTTCCTGCTGCAGTCTCATGAGTATGCATTCAAGCCAGGTTGTGTTGAATTTGACTAAATCTTGGCAACTTTCAATGAGCTGATGTTTTTGCTAGGTATAGGGTATACCTAGTGTGTTAATTGGCATTTAAGCTGTACCTGGTGTTAAGGAACTCAAACCCACTGGGAAAGACCAAAGACTTGATATAAATTAAACTAGCTAAATTTTTATTTAAGCTGAATTTGACCTTGGTTCCCATGGTCAGATTTAGAACTAAGGCCCATCTACAAGGCAAGAAGGCTTTTAAAGACAATTACTTTATTCCTGTGGAATTTACAACTGTGGGAGGAATTGCCTTATTTCCCCATTCATAGCAACAAGCAGAGTTTATAGAAACCAGAGCAAGTAGTTAACAATTTCATAACTGTTTTACAATTCTGGGGTTTGCGCAAGGAGTCAGAGTTGCTAGGAGCTTGTCTAAGAATTTAGAATGTGTAAAATGAATTCTTCTTCCACATCACACTGCCTGTACCTGGAAAATTCATTTGTCTATTGAAGATCTGTTTGTTGTCACCTGGCAGATGTCTGGCCAGAAATCTCACCATTCCTCACTGGGGTGTCTTTATTAATGTCCTATCAATTGGAACCTTTTAGCCTATCTTTAGTGAAAACTAGTATCTTTGTTCTTTGCTGATCTCTTACGTTTGCAGATGCAAGATTGAAGAAACAATCTTTAACTTGTGAACCAAGCTAACACGAACTACAGCCATGTTTGACCAGGGCTTGGTGAAGTGTTAAATGGCCTGACGGAAATTAGCCTCAGAACACCTGGAACACTGACATAAGACACTTTCTTGTGACCGTACACTGATTTAGCACATGACAAGGTATGTAGTGCAGAGAATTACATGAACATCTCATGACTCATGCTTCTTGTCTTTGAATTAGTAAAGAACAGAGTGTTATTCCTTTTGGTCTCTGGTCCCTTTAAAGGACAAGCCACGCCCACTCCCAGTGACTTC